TTCGGATTGGGAGGGGGTGAGGGTGGTGGTGTTGGTGAGGTTTGAAGAGGAGGTGGCGGTGGTAGGTGGTGGCGAGTTCGCGGATAGGGGCTTGCAGGAATTGGAGTTGGCCCGTGGGGAGTTGGTGGAGTTCGAGGGTGCGTGGGAAGGAGAGCATCCCCTTCCAGGTGGTGGTGGGCGGGTGGTCGCCGTAGCTGTTCATCACGGAGGCGAGGATGCGGCGGCCGTCGGAGGTGGGGACGTTTTCCCAGGTGAGGGCGCCGTCGAAGTCGCGGCCGCAGTCGAGCCAGAATGATGTGCTGGGATCAACGAGATCCGCGGTGAAGGAAGTGCCGTCGAAGGAGCCTGTGAGTGCGAAGACGCCGTTGCCGCCGGCGGGGGAACCGGTGGCAGGGGTGATGATCATGACCCATTTCTTTTGTGTTGTTCCCTTGATAGGGAGCTCGAAAAAGTCGGGTACCTCCCACCCATGGATTCCATCGGGGAAGTTTGGAATGTGGCTGGCGGTGAAGTCGCTTCTCCAGGTCCAAGATGGCGCGTCGCTTGATGTCCAGAAGGTGACTTTCTCCTGACCTCCGTGTGCGAGGATCACTACCCATCGGCTCGAGGGGGTGTGGTAGAAAACTTTCGGATCCCGGATCTCCAGACCCCCGGTGGTATCATGAGACTCTTCCTGGGTTTGCGAGATGATGGGATTGCCTTGGTACTTGGGTCCATGTGACGCCCTGGTCAAGGTTGTACGCCAGTCCGCTGGTCCTGCACCCCAGTCGAGGGGAAGTAACCGGTGTAGAAAGCGAGGTATGGCGGGTTGGATGCGGATCCCAGTCCCGAAAGGTTCTGCGAGTCGAAATAGGCGGTCCCAGTGAATGCTTGTATGCCATCTGCACTGGAGATGGCAACGGGCTTGTGAGTCCAGGATACCAGATCAGTACTGGTGGCGTGGCCCTAACTGAGGTTTCCCCAGAAAGTTTCCAGTGGGGTTATGCTGGAAGAACAGGTGCCATATCGACCCGATTTTGATAAGACCGTTGGGTTCATTCATCCAATTCTGCTCTGGCACGAAGTGGAACACAGGACGAAAATCTACGGGGGCAGTGGCCGAAGGACGGGTTGCAGTGGTGGTTGTGCTTGTGACGGTCGTGTTTTCTGTCGTCCTTACTACCGTGCTGAGAGTAGTGCTTGTCGACTGACTCGAGCTGATGCGGCTGATGCTCGTGCTGCTCGTGCCGGTGGTGGGCGGCGTATCGAAAGCCGATCCCAGCATCTTTGCATCAATCGTAATCTCCTTTGTGCTTCCCCCGCTTGAGAAAAGCCGGACATCAATACCTACGTCCTGGGGAAATATCTGTGCCGACAAGGTCACCTCGCCTTCGCCACCAAAGATTTCAACCGAAGAGGAATCAAGAAGGATGCGCATAGTGATCTTCCCGTCACTGCCAGGGGAAAGCGGCGCGTAATAAGTGTTGGCGAATGTCCCGTCAAAGCCGACGTTTCCAGACTTGGTTCGATCAACAAACATCCTCTTCGTACCGAAATCGTACCCGATCCGTGTCTGCTGTGCCAGGTCCGAGGTTGATCTGAGGAGGAGGCCGAACTGAGACGAGGACGCCGAGTTCCGGTCAGAGAATGTCATCGTGATGTCGAGGGACTTCCCAGAGAGCGGGATGGGTTGACTCCCTTCCTCCACGGTGTTAAAAACGTTGGAATACGTCCCTGTCTGCAGGGCGGCCCAATCGGCAACAGGTTGTTGGATAAGTGTTGGCCATCCGTTGATGGTCTTCAGTGACAGTTTCCGAGGGATCGATGAAATACTGCGCCACGGAGAGGTCGGGATGTTGTTTGCGTATTGCCAGTTGTTCATCCAGGCAATGTCGGTGCGGTCTGCGGAGGGGAGTCCATTGAAAGGTGCCGCAGCATAGTAGTCAGGGCCCCAGTCCATCCAGTTAGTCCCCCTTGGTTCATCTGAGACATCCGAGAAGGAGATCTCATCCACCAGGATATGTCCCCAGCCAGTCGTACTGAGATCCACGATCTCAATGGCAGCACTCTGGCCGATCAAAGATGTAACATCCCAGCTCTTTGGCAGCAGCTGTTCGCTATCACTGCCCGTGGCAGTGCGGACGACCTCGCCGTTGACCTTGAGGTTGATGCATTGCACACCTGGGGCGTTCCCGCCACCAATGAGAAGGTTGATCCACTTCTTCGTGATGGTGAAGGTGGGCGAGACCAGAGTTCCAGTCGTCGCATCGCCATCGTAGAAGGTGTTGACGAAGTTCCCCCGCTGTCCGGACACAGCCTGCTGTCCCGCCAACGTGCCCTGGGCCGGGCTCTTCCCGACCAGACCTCCAGTGGCGGTCCATCCTAGACTCGCAAAAGTACCGTTCCCATTAAAGTCAAAAACACCATCACTCCTGGGCGCGGGAGTGGTAGCATCACCATAGAAGGTAATCTCGTCAATGAGTACGTGCCCCCAACTGCCCGTCTGCTGATCCACAACCTCAAGGACGGCAGTTTTCCCCATGTACTCAGCGACATCCCAAGTTTGTGGGAGGAGTCTCTCCTCATTGTGGCCCGTGGCAGTGTGAACAACCTGGCTTCCGATCTTGAGGTTGATGCATTCCTGGCCTGGTGCGTTGCCGCCGCCAATGAGGAAGTTGATGAGTGGTTGAGTAATTGTAAAGGACGGCGAGGTGAGCGTGCCGGTGGTTGAGTCTCCGTTCAAGAAAGTGTTCACGAGGCGAGTACCAGCATATCCGGAGACGGTTTGCTTTCCGGGGAGTGTCCCCTGAGCCGGTGCGGCCCCGACTAGCCCCCCTGTGGCAACCCAGCCGCGAGACGCAAAATCAGCAGTACCTTCGAAGTCTTGGAATGTGACAGTCCAAGTTGCTCCTTCTGAGGTGATGGATGTCGACACGGATGTGGAGGTTGGAGACGGAGACGGAGGCGGACTGTTGGAGTCCACAGTGAATGCCGTTCCATTGAAACTCCCGACAATGTATTGCGTCCCTGAGCCAACAACTCCAGGTGGCCCACTAGGATTGAGTCCGATCTGTGCAACCCACTTAGTCTCGGCTTCGTTTCCGTCGAGGGCGAGCGGGAAGATGCTAGGACACTCCCAGACACCCCCGACTGCATTCATGGGGCCGAACTCGCTAGTGTAGGTGTTGGCACTAGGGAAGGAAAAAAACCGCTTTTTTGCCAAAAAAGCGGTTATTAAACCACTTTGCTAAAAATCCGCTTTTTTCACCAAAATCCAAAAAAACCGCTTTTTTGACACGCCGCCCATCACCACCGCAACAGCCATTTTTTGTCGCTTCTACACCCCGCGAACAGCCTCACTATGGCTCGATTGATCGATTCAGAGATTCGTCATCATTTTACCCCAGACAACGCCCGTGACATTCGGATCCAGTTAATGCAATTCCGTCGGAACACATCTATCTTCCAGACACCCAATGATGCAGAAGGTTGGATCCTCGAGCCCGCCAATTATTGGCTAGCCATTGGCGCAAAAAATCCAAGCTGCATCTTGGTTGAGCCTGCTCTTCGACTTTTTGACTGTTTGGCCAATTCCGTTCCGTCAGAGCGTTCTTTCAGTTATCAAAACCTTATACACAACAAGGTACGGAACAAGTTGAGCCAGGAAAAAGCAGACATGTTGACATTCGTGTACTATAATTCGAGGGCATTGGAGAGGTCTCTAGTTATACCAGCAGAGTACAATAGTGGGTGTGAATCGTCTTAGTGTCACGGGGCGTGGTCAGGGGAGTCGCGGAACAGGGTCAGGTTCTGGCTAATGACTGAGTTGTGCGATGAGGAGAGAGGAAGCTCTCACAAGGGGACGCTAATGGAGAAGGAGATACTGCTGCCCACGTGACCCAAGCAGGTCAGGCTTGGTGCCGTGACACTTAGGAAAATACTGCCTGTTTTATCATACCTTCCTAATTGGGACACCTAACTCCCCTAGATAGACTAGTGTACGCACAGACTGCTTTTTTGCTTCAAAAAAGCGGATTTTAAACGGTTAGTAACCGTTAGTAACAATTGTTTTTTAGCAAGGGCGTACCCTAGTTGGCACCTGCAGGGCTAGCGCCCTGCAGGTTGGCCTGTGCACAAGCCCACTCACAGTTCTTATGTAGTTTCGGCTGCTGCAGCTTTAGCTGCAACAACCTCAATCCTTTTTAGGCACTTCCTCTGCCTCAAGAGTAGGTCCACTCCTTCAGGTTGGGCGAGGTGTAGATGAGCAGCTTGTGGAGTTGGGCTAGTGATATGACCGAGACCCATTTCTGGGTTGGCTCGTGCCAGAACACGAATGGGTCTCGAAACTCTCGCCACTGATCCGCGTAAGGTGCTGGAGGGTTGAGGATGACAGGGTTGGCGGCATCGTATGTTGTCCAGGTTACGCCTATCCAGGCTGTACGCAATCGATTGAGCTTGCTGTCCACCGTTGACTGACGTGCCGCTAGGGAGATTGAGTGGTCCGGGATACTACGTGGACAGCATTAGAGGGAGCCAACATTTTCAAGAATTCAAATGGAGGACTCACATAGGAGGTGTACATTTCCACAAATGGAACACTTCCGTTCGTGCCAAAGCCACTGGTGTTCTCGGTGTCAGCGACAGCAGAACCAGAGAAGAACATCTCAGAGATGTCACCTGGGTAGCCACGCGCAAGCAGGGCAATGGGTTGGTGCTTCTAGTGGGTCAGATCATCGGTGGTAGCATGGCCCCATGACATGGCTCCCCAAGTGTCTCCTCCAGGGTTATACTGGTAGTAAAGGTGATAGACACCATTGTGGTACAGGAGACCATTCGGGTCATTCATCCAGTTCTTTGCCGGCGTAAAGTGATAACGAGGTCTGTAGAGCTCATTGTAGGTTTGCGCGCCTGCTGCCCGCAAAAGGGAGAGCCCGAGCAGTAGGGCAAAGGCAAAAGAGATGACCATCATAACAAGACTGGTGCATCCAGAGATTGTATAGAAAGACGACCGATGAAGATCCTGATGGCGAGCTGGGGGGTTTCGAATTCGCGGCGAAGCATGGGCTTTTATACATTCTCAACCCCAGATTAAAACTTTCACTGTCGCACCTTTCTTTTGTCCTACAATACTCTCAATCTACTCTGGATTTCTGCAACTCTTCAGTTTAGTGTGCGTGGAGAGATGTAGACAGCGTGTACCTACCTAGGTACCTGGCCTCCAAGACGGTTCCCTACCTGAATGGTACCGGACCGCAGGCTCCATCTGGCAAGGGCCCCGACAAGCCGGCATCGCGATTCTGTGATGATCAGTAATAGAGTATTTCGAATCTTGTTTAGAGGCTCCCTGGATGTCGTGAGCGTACGGATCCATACTGCGGTATTTTCAGCGTCAACCCACTTACACGGAGCTCCTAGCATGGTTGGTCGCTCGGCTGCCAGGGTACCTGGTAGGGAGGTCCCACGTTGTACGGTTATATGCAACACCTCGAGGCTCAAGCGGCTGCCCTTCGAACACCCATCCACACACCGATTGGCGAATAAAGGGGGTGAGGTAAAAGAACCCCAAACTCCCCCGCCTTCCCCGCCTCGAGGGTTACATGTACCAGACTCACAACCACAGCTTCAAGTGTAGAAAGAAAGCGTCGGTCTGACCGACATACCTAGTGGGCCAGCTAGTGCTCCAACAACACCTGCTGCTGCAGGAAGGCTTCGAGAACCAGGGACGATGCTACCCTAGTGGAGTTCAAGGTTGTGGTATCCGGTACCGGAATGTTCGACCTTCTGTTTTCGGTTGACTGATCTCCGGCACTTGTGATCCTTGCAGGACGCTAGAAGGTTCCTCTTCCCTTCTCGAAGGCTTTTCTATCCGGGCTGCATGTGCCAGCTTGGCCAGCCAAGCCCAATAGAACAATAGTCAATCCTTCCCCAGGTCCGTGCTTGATACAGACACACTTGGTGGAAGCACAGCCTCCCCTGTTACAAGGGCTGGAATTCCAGGGCTTGAACAATCAGCTGCCGGGGGAACCGGCAAAACCAAGTGTATTAATAAGAATAATCTTCAATGGCCTCGAGAAGTCCATGAAGAGAGAAAGAGAAGTTCTGGAGCTATCTGACATTCTAAGTCTTCTTATACATGAAGGGTTTCGGTGAGAAGGTGAGGAAGGGCGTCTGACGAGGACGCCAATGAAATTAGTGAGGCTGACCGATGAGTGGCCATTGATTTCTGAAAATGATTGGTGATGGTTGAGTCCACGTAATGATCCGTGTGACATGATGGTTGAGTCCATGATGGTTGAGTCCATGATGGTTGAGTCCATGATGGTTGAGTCCATGATGGTTGAGTCCACGTAGTGATCCGTGTGACATGATGGTTGAGTCCACGTGGTGATCCGTGTGACATCTCCCTACCCTTGTCCCTACCCCAGACCCAAGCCTGGGATGATGATAACACGCTAATACACTCCGCACTGGGAATCTGGGGGAGACGTGAACACCAATTCCCTGTGGCTGATTTATTATACCTGCCCATTCATGTGGGCTTTGAAACGTAACGGACCCTTCAGCTCCGACGGAGATACCTAGTTATATTGTCGAGAAAAGTGACGCATTGCCGAGTGTTGTAATCCTCCGGGCAGCGTAATACTGGCTCCTAAGAGTCTAAGAGTGCGGCCGGCCGCGTGATGTCGCCCTGCTCTAAACTTTGAATAAGCTTCCCTTCCTCAGAAGACTCGTGCGTTATCCGAAGGAAGAAATACCATGTAACTCGATAGCCAGAATAGGCGTTGGCATCATGATAAAGGTGTTGTGTATTACTGTTGGTTGCCGCAAAACGGACCAGCAAGACCAAAAAGGGTTTGCCTCCAGGTAAGAGATGTGTTACTAGTGTTACCTCTCAGACGCAATATTCGTGACGATGTTGCAAAAAGGAAACCATGAGACTGTTTGGCTGTCACTGGAGGTATAGCTATCCGCAAACGCGATGGGCAAGCATGCAGGGATGGATTTTGGAACATCGAAGTCGAAAAGGAAACCAAGGTTCCAAGGCGTATATCGGGCTGCCTAAGTGTGAAATATAACTGTTCACCAAAAAATATCCAGTGTCCCCGCTGTTCCCCGGCTGTTGGTTGCGGGAGAGTATAACTAATGATTTACTTGCTTATTACCCCAGACCGCAGGGGCCGCCGTCCGTCCTCAAGAAGCAATACTTGGTACTTCTCATTAACACGCCCCTGAACATACCCCTGTCAAAAGTCCCACCAACACCTCAGCAACGGATCAGCTCCCTTCGTCCATGCTGATGTGGGCCGTTGGCACTTGGTCAGTAAGCAAACTGACCGAATCTTCATTTGCAGCACCACGTTGGCTTGGGGAAAGGAAAAAAACTAAACAGACGCATGCAATATGGAAGCGCAAAATATCCCAAAGTCGGTTGTCATTGTGAGTCAAATAAAGTTGAGGTCAGTCCACGAACAAACCTAACCAGATTACAGGTCGGAGGCTCCTTAGCAGGCCTCCTTCACGGGCTGTACTTGAAGCGGCATGGCAGCAATGTGGTCATCCTCGAACAGGATCCCAACGCGGTTCGGAGCAGCCACCAGGCGGGCATTGCCTTCGGGCCCAACACGGATGAGATCCTCCGTAAGTACGACGACACGGGCGTGCAGAGTTGCATAGCGTCCACAACCACCCAGTTCGCCTACCGCAAGACCTGGGACTTCCACCTCAACATCGCCCGGCGTCTCACCAGCTGGGGATTGCTGTACCGCATCCTGCGCGCCAACTATGACGGCCTGGCCTCCGACGCCGTCCCCAACCCGCCTCCTCCAAGGCAAGGCGACGGAAAAGCGGAGTACCGCTCTGGGCAGAAGGCCACGAAGCTGCAAGACAACCACGACTCCGTCACGGTCACCTTTGTCGACCAGGACGGCACCGAGGACACCCTCACCGCCGACCTCGTCATCGGCGCCGACGGCCTGCACTCCACGGTGCGGACCCTCGTCCAGGCGCCCACCATCAAAGAATACTCGGGCTACGTCGCGTGGCGCGGGACCGTGCTCGAGCGCGACCTGCCCCCAGAAACAGTCGCGTACTTTGACGGCCGCCCAACCATCAGCTTCCTCAAAAAGACCTACCTCGTCTCGTAAGCCGCCCCTCCCCTCCCCCCTCTCTCAACCAACCAAACACCAAACCAACCTCTCCCTAGCTACCCCATCCCCCCCGACGCCGGCACCTTCACCCCCTCCACCCGCCTGCTCAACTGGGTATGGTACTCCAACTCGCGCAACCCCACCCCCCTTTTAACCGACCTCACTGGCCACATCCACAGCAACACCATCCCCACCGGCCTCATCAACCCCCCTTTATGGCGCGCCCAACTCGCGCGCACCCTCCCGCAAATGCCTTCCCACCTAGCCACGCTGGTCGCCGCGACGCGGGACGAGGCCGTGTTCGTCACGCGCGTGAACGATGCGGTGTGTGAGGGGGCGGTGTATTGTGCGGGGAGGGTGGTGCTGGTCGGGGATGCGCTGGTGACGTTTCGGCCGCATTTTGCGGTGGCGACGGAGCAGGCGGCGAGGCATTGTCTTGGGTTGGGGAGGGTTTGGAAAGGGGAGAGGGGGTTGAGGGAGTGGGAGGGGGAAGTGGTCGGGTATGGGCGGAGGATGTGGATGGCGAGTCAGGTATTGGGGGTTTGGGGGTTGGGTGGGTGGTGGGAGTTTTGGGGGGTGTTGGGGAGGTTTGTGGGGGTGCTTTTGCGGGGGTTGTTTGCGGGGAGGGGATGATGTTGATGTTGTCGCTGGGGTTGTGGGGCTGGATGACGTGGGGTAATACATCGATCTTTACGATTGATGAGGTGTTTGGATAAAGATTTCCTGTCTTTTATCATAGATTGGATAAATAGGTACCTAAATAATTGTGTCCATCAGCGGGAGACGATATTCCGAGATGAAACCCTAAGACGGCACGACGGTCTCAGCAAGGCAAAGAGTTCTCTGCTGACCCAGATCCGAACGGGAGCAATAGGCCTACGGGACTATCTGTTTTTGCGAGGGGTCCCAGAGGTCCTAACGCCCGCCTGCGAGTGCGGGGAGGGACGGGAGACTGCCGAACACCTGGTAGTGTGGTGTTTGGCCCCACCGCTGACTCGAAGATGGGAGAGAACCGGAATTCGAACGCGACGGGACTTTTACTCTGTTCTACACGGTATTGATCCTGCAACGGCACGGCTCACGAGGAGGGTCCTGGGCTGGCTGATGGACTCGGGGAGGCTGCCGATGTACAGCCTCTTAGCCAGGAGGCTCGAGCTGGAAGCGGCGGCCTGAAACGCCCCCTTCCGGAGGCCAGGAGGCCTCCTCTCTTTGTATACGCAGACTCACCAGAACGCATCGTTCCTTGATTGTTGGTATGGGTTTTTTACCCGGCCCGGGAGGGCACGGTTTTCCTGTACACTAAATAGCAGAGGGTCCGGCACGCCCTAGGGCATAGCGGAGTATGAATAATAATAAATAATTGTGTAAAATTGGGGAATCGAGTCCGTTATGGGGATCGAGCTGCAGTACGGATCCGTACATGTACATCCTTCGTAAAGCAGGTAAGTGTGACGGCAGCTGCCGTCGGAGTGCACTGTGGCTCCACTTGGTTGGGCACGTGACCACACGCGCTGGCATTTAACTCCTGTATCGCGAGAGCTCTTCCAGCTTCTCTTCCTTTTCTCCCCATCTTGCAATTAGCAGAAATAGAGTCTCATCGGCAGTGCCCTCGCGCCTCGCCCAAATGTCCCTCGTCTCTCACAGTAAGAGCCGATTAATCTGGAGAATATCAAAGTTGTAAAATCGAGAACCCACTGTGTCTGTTGGTCAGCTGGATGAGATCTCTTTTCAGACAATGAAATTATGAACGATCGGGCCACATTTTACGTGGGAGGTAGTTATAACTAGTTAATCATAAATTCCAGAGTTTTGCTAGCCGGGCTGTGTCCCACTTTTCTGGCCAATGAATAAACAGGATCATTCTGCCCCTCAGTTAACTTGCCCATGCCTTCCTATTGCCGACTTCGCCGATTTCTTCTAACTTCACCACCACGTCGCCGCCGCCGAAATTCGCCGCGATGGATTCGCCGATTGATCCTGCCGTGGCGCCGCAGCCAACGTACGACATACCGAACCCGCCAGACGGAGGAATTAATGGTCAGTCCGTCGCGACGATTGACGATCTTCAGGCTCATCTCCAGGCCCACGCCGGGAGGCATGGTTTTGCTGTCATCCGACGCAACGGAGGCAACTATCGGGGAGACCCAAAGAAGCCCACGCGCTACAAGATCTGCTGCGACCGTGACGCTATTCGCAAGGCTGAAGGTTTCGGCAACCGCAAGACAGGCACCTCAAAGAACGATTGTCCTTAGTATGGCGTTGCCTCTGCCCGTCTTGCTGATGACTGGCGCTGGACCTTTCAGCTCAAACACCCTTCCCATAACCACGCACACTCTCTCGACCCATCTGTACACAAGCTTCACCGGAAGTTGACGTCCACCCAGACGAACCTCCTCCAGACCATCTCAAAGCATAAGGCCATCGGATCACGTGAGGCAGCTTCCATCGTCAGAGATGCTGTGCCTGGGTCTCTCGTCAAGCAAAAAGACATCGACAACGCCCGCCAGCGCCTACGTCTCACTGCGCTTAACGGTAGGACCGCTGTCCAACAGTTCATCAGCATCCTTATCGACATGGGCTACAAGCATCGCATCCAGTGGGCCGAAGAGGACCCTACCCGCCCTGTTGCCTTCGTCTGGACTTACCCGTGGTGTGAAAGTATGTGGAAGAGATTTCCAAAGGTCATCGGCTTAGACAACACCTACAAGACCAACCGCTTCAAGATGCCGCTCTTCCAGGTCACTGGCACAACAGATATTGGCTCCTTATATAACTGTGCCTTCGGTCTCGTGTCAACTGAACGCTGCGACGGCTACGACTTTCTTCTTGAGTCTATCGAATCGATTCGGGCCGAAATCTACGCCGAGCGTCCTAAGGTCGCGATTACTGACTTTGAAGATGCCTTACGGTCATCCATTATGGACATCTGCCTGACGCTCAACTTCAACTCTGCATCTTCCACATCAACCAGAACGTCAGCCTCAATGTCAAACGGAAGTGGCAAGGGCCTGGCGGCCCTGCTGAAGACGAGCTCGATGTTAACCGCGACAAGGAGGCTGCCGAGAACAAGGCGATCCAGAACCTCAACGATAGAGCCCGCGCCAATGAGATGCTCAACCGCGGCCAGCAGCCCCCAGAGATTCCTCATACCCCAACTGGCTTCTGTCAGCTATGGGCTTACGTTATCTACGCCAACACAGAGGAGGACTTCGATGCCGCGTGGGCAGCCTGCAGCAGGAATTCTCTGACCAACAGCCTGCCCTCGATTACATCTCTAATACTTACCTTCCTGTGCGGCATCAGTGGGCCAACTGCTTTATCTCGCAGTATGAGAACTTCGGCGTACGGACCAATTCACCCACCGAGACTGCCCATAAGGATCTGAAGTCTTACGTTATCACTGGTAGCTCTGACCTTTATGCCGTCTCGAAGGCAGTTGAAGAGATGATCCGGAACAAGGCTCGCACCTACACTGAAAAAGTAGCAGAGATGGAGACTCGCACTCGCTACGAGTACCTTCGCCGTGACTGGCTTAGGACCGTCTCTAAGGAGGTTGGTATGAAGGAGCTAGATCTGATGAACCGGCAGCGTCAAAAAGCCTACTCCGTCATCAACGGCGCCGGCGAATCTTTGAGCTGGGCCAATCGGAAACTGTACTTCAGATAGGAATTGAACTCGCGAAAAGGACTGCTTTCAATAGGGCTCGTTGAGATCTCTCGACTGCCGCAATAAACCCCAAAATTGAAAGTTAATTGTTGCAAACTGTACAGACGGTTCTGGTTCTACGTGGTCTCATTGGCCAGAAAAGTGGGACACAGCCCGGGCAGCCGACTGACACAACCCAGCTAGCAAAACTCAAATTGAAAACAAGAGTGAGGCCCACCGCATTGCTCGTGCCCACGCCCCACCTGGAGCAAACGCCCGAGTTTGGTTTCCTCGGCGGCGACTGTCGCGGTATCTTTGTTGCTTTTTACTGATCTTCCTAATGTTCATTGAATGAGCTTGGGAGCATTCGCGGCAACTTTGCAACTCTCCGCATTCACATCGCGGACGAAAACCACTTCATTCCGAAGCCACAACGCAAAAATGGATTACCTCGACGGTCTCGACGCGCAGACCTTGAATCTGATCATCCAAACCCAGCTTGAGGACCTCCAAGAAATTGCACGCACTCATGCGCCCAAGGGTAAGGGCCGCGTGGGGCAGCAGGACACCCGCGCCGACCTGATCGCTGCCATCGACGCTTATAGCGCCGATTTGACGGCCACGGCCCAGATCTTGGCCGATGAGGCCATGTGCAAGAGCATCGCTACCGCCGTGGACGCCGATGCCGACTTGATCAGCGCCGCCTTGTCGCAGGAGGACCAATTAATCCAGGACAGAGAGCTGGCCTTCCGCTTGAGCGGCCAGCCACGCCCGGCCGCTACCAGAGCCCAAAACATTTCCCAGAAGTCGTTCATGTCGACTACCACTGACGAACACGTTCTCGGGAAGTTGAGGGCGCTCAACCTTTCGCCTTCCCCAGGCCCCGCCGCTGCTCGTTTGTACCCGGAGCAAACGCACGCCGACCGCCCCGAGTCCTCCTCCTGGGCTCAAAGCAGGCGCCAGATTGTTCTCGGCACCACGACGGTAGTACGGAAGCCAGCGGTACCTGTAGTGAGCAGAACCTGTGTCGCCTGTACCGAAATCCACCCGGTCACTCGTCTCGCCAAAAGTCCCTCCTGCGGTCACGAATACTGCCAAGACTGCCTCCGGTCGCTATTCACATCCTCCTTCACCGACGAAACCCTTTTCCCCCCCAAGTGTTGCGGCAAGGTCCTCCCCATCGACACGTGCAAAGCCTTCCTCACACAAACCATTGTCGGGCAGTACCAGGCTAAGAAAGTCGAGTTCGAAACCCCCAACCGGACTTACTGCCAGAGGAAGTCCTGCTCGGCATTCATACCGCCACAATTCATCCTCGGCGGGATCGCCTATTGCCCCCAGTTAGGGTGCCGCGGCCAGACGTGCTCAGTCTGCAAGGGCGCGGCCCATTCTGGTACCGACTGTCCCAAGGATCCCGCTACGCAGGACATGCTTAAGCTGGCGGCCGCGGAGAACTGGCAACGCTGCTACTCGTGTTCCCGTTTTGTAGAGCTGGATACCGGCTGTAATCATATTAGTGGGTTGAACAACTGGGCTGTGTACTGCTACTGATGAACCGTGCTGACAACGGACCCTTTCTCGCCACTTCTAGCCTGCCGCTGCGGTGCCCAGTTCTGCTATGTCTGCGGCGAGGTCTGGAAGAGGTGCGGGTGTGACCAGTGGGACGAGAGGAACCTACTCAACCGCGCCAACGTTGTTGTAGACCGGGATCCCAGGGCGAGAGAGATGCCCCAAATTCTGCGGCAGGACATGGTACACCGGGAGATGGCCAACTTGATGGAGAATCACGAGTGCCAGCATAGGTCCTGGAGGTCGCGTGGCGGCAGCCACCAGTGTGAGGAGTGTTACCACACCCTTCCCAACTTCATTTATGAGTGTCGGCAGTGCCAGATCCTGGCATGCCGCCGCTGCCGCTTTAATCGGCTCTAGCCTTCCCTCGCCTATTGAGACAAACGGGTCGGCTTTCTTGTTGGGTCTGACTGATGTGCCCATAAGATCAGAGTCCCGGTTTGGTCGTCCGGCTCATGAAATACAAAAGTGTGTTTGTTGATTTAGAGTTTGGGTCACAGGGAGTTGGGGTCGCACTTTCCCCGCTAATCGGTTCACAACCGTTGGGTCAAGTTAGATTAGAGGTTGATGGGCAACATCGTACGACAACACAGGAATAGAAAGAGTAACCGGGCAGTCAGCCGGGAAATTGGATGAAACAAGCTATTTTAACCCTAACCCCACTCAAGAGTAGAAAATTAAGTCACCTCAATGTAACCACAATCTCACCATCTCAAGACACTGAACCTTAAAAACAACAACAGCTTTCAAACGGCATAGCGATTACAGTCATGACTTCTAACGATTTGAAAACCGAAAACGTCGACTCTCTCATCAATCGGGATGATGGGAGAAAATACTGGGAAAGCACTGATGCCACCGTCGACGGCATGCTCGGCGGACATCCCCACGTCAGCAGGGTCGAACTTCGGGGCTCACGGAACTTCCTAGCCAAGATCGGCATCGGGTCCAAGCCTGGCCAGCAGGTCGCTATAAACGCGCTCGAGGGAGGCGCTGGGTGAGTGTAGAAAAGGTACCGCCCAGTGACCGAATCAGCAATTAAACCTAATTCTCTTCCTCTCCCACGCAGCATCGGCCGAGTAACCGAGGGCTTGCTCCTCGGCGGCATTGCCCAGCACGTCGATATTATTGAGCCCATCGCCAAGTTTACGGCTCAATTGCAGGGAAAGCCGGGTGTGAGGAATATTTTCAACATGGGCCTCGAAGACTGGCAGCCCGGCGATGGCGTCCAATACGATCTCATCTGGATACAGTGGTGCGCTGCTTACTTGACCGACAAGCAGCTAGTCCAATTCCTAGAGAGGTGTAAATCGGCATTGAACCCGGATAGGGGCGTTATCGTCTTCAAAGAGAACACCAGTCCGGTAGGGAAAGACATGTTTGATGATGTCGACAGCAGCGTTACAAGGTGCGTCTTGTGGGGTCGTCGGTCTTCTTGTTGCAAATCTCTAACTGGCGTCACAGAGGCGACGACACGTACCGACGCTGTTTTACCGCGGCCGGGTTCCGGCTGATTAAGACCGAGTTGCAAAAGGGGTTGGTCTCAGGGGTGAAGCTTATGCCGGTCAGGATGTACGCGCTACGGCCTGTGCAGTCATGATAGAGGTTGGCTTTCAGTATCACAAACCATCAACCCAATATAGGTATATACCAGCGGCGCCACAACCAATCCCGCCTCGCCTTTTTTGTCATTCCTCATGTCTCATTATCCTCACGCCTGCGCCGCCTTACCCGCCTCCCCCTCCCCCTTCCCCTTCTCCCCCTCCCCATCCACCTCCCCCGCCCTCATAGCCACCACCTCCTCCTCCCCATCCTCCTCCCCCTCCCCATCATCTACACTCACCTCCTCCACCCCCTTTAACCAACCCCCCCAGCCTCCCCCTCCCTTCCCTGCCCCCCTCCTTCCCTGCCCCCTCCTCCCCCCTCCTCGTTTCGCCGACGCCGCCAAAAAATAATCCACCACCTCCCCCTTCTCCGCAAACCCCGCCACGTCCAGCGGGATGTAGTTCTTGTCGTTGGCCGCCGCCACCGACGCCCCCGCCTCCACCAGCGCCCGCACCACGCTCAGGTGTCCGCCGAGCGCCGCCCAATGCAGGCCCGTGTTGCCGTAGGCGTTGGGCGCGTCGAGGTAGGCTTGTTTTTGGGCGGTGTTGTTGGCGGGGAGGTGGGATAGGAGGAGGTTGACTGTTTCTGTGTGGGGGGGAAAGGGGGGGTTAGTTTGGGTTTTGGGGGTGGGTTGGGTGTGGAGGTGAGGAGAGGGGAGGGAGGTTGTGGGATGTTGGGGTGAGAATCGGGCTCATGGGGTTGGGAATCAGGGGGGATGGGTTGAGTTTTTAAGAGGGTGAGTGGTGGGGGTGTTTGATTTTTTTCTTGGTGGTGAGGGGTCTCAAGGGAATGAGCCCGAGTGGGACTAGGAGAGAAACACTGTAAACTTACCAAGATGGCCATTCCCGGTCGCCATATGCAGGCAAGTCGACTTCCCCTCGTCTTTTGCGCTTGTGAGAATCTCGGCAGGCGACACCTTTTCCCGCTCAGCCAACGATGAGAGCAGGGTCGTCAGCTCATCATTGTCGCCTGTCCGCGCGGCATACAAAAGGTCGTCGATTTCATCTTCGCTTAATTGGGGCGCCATTTTGCCGTCAGTGGCCTCCTCAGTGAGGACTAAATATGGGGAAATTCGAGGTTGAGGTGTGACTGGCCCTGAGTGAAACTTACTTCAACGGCTGCCGTTGAAATTTTTGGTGGTGGTTGTGGCCCAAACAGTGCGTATTACATATAATGAGTCTGCGCACTGTACCTCTAGGCATAACGCCGCCGGGACTCGAGCACATTATTTATGCTATATATTATATTATAGTTATTATATACTTACAAATCGTATCGTACAATTATATCATAGATATAAAGCTGGGATATTATGCATTTACCAATCACATACATTTCCAACGTAGGTACCTATAAGGCGCGGGTATAGGACTGGGTGCGGTTATAGGGTAGAACGGTGGGCGGTTTAGCAGGTGTAGCCTGTAAAATAATGCCCTCCGGGTAGGTACTTTACCCATTGAATCGGGTCCTATAGTAGCGCTGTTGGGGGAGGGGGGGTAAAATACCTGTCTAAAATGCTTGTTGACTTCTAGAATGTTTACTAAAATACCAAGATACCTGATCACAACTTTCAAGGAATGATTCCTCTCCCTTATAGAGCCTCGCTGCGGTATTTCCCAACGATATGCTCCAACTGATGCTTTATCATGTTGAGGAGGACTTCAACTTCATCCAAGCGTTCCCCAGTGCTTCCCTCTGCCCTAAGCTTAAATAGGCGGTCAATGATTAAAGCAATGTGGAGGAGGTCTTCAACTTCATCCAAGTGTCCACTAGTGCTTCCCTCAGCTCTACGCTTCAATAGACGCTCCAATCGGTGGTTGGTAATGTCGAAGAGGTTTTCAAGTTCAGGCAAGCGTCTACTACTGCTCCCCTCTGCTCTTGGAGGCTGCGTATCTGGATATTGCAACTCTCGTCGTAGCTTCTGACCGTCCCCGGCCGTCCTCGCAAGAAGGACAGCCTTGTGATGTCGGAGATTCGAGTTCGCCCGCTCGGCAACAGCTTTGGCCCTGGCATGTATTTCGGCGACTCTGGGGTCATCTTTTTCGAAGATATTGAGCGCGAGACCCAAAACTTTCTCTAACGCTGCCATGGCCTTCTCGGTGTCCTGCTCCCTGTGGTGCGTGGTGGCCAATCCATAGAGCAAGTACAAGGCGACCTTACCGCTCGGCCAAGAGTGCCCCTGTTGAAGCTTCAGATATTCAACAGCTCGCTGAAAGTCCGTTTTGGCAGGTTTGAGGCGACTGACAAACAAGTTGGCAAACGCAAAACTACTCTTCAGATCAATTTCAAAGGAGGCGTAACGACCGTCGGGTACAGCTAGGTCGGCAGGACTAAGGTGCCTTTGGACAAGGCTCGCGCATCGATTCAAAGATGCTAGATGGAGTTGAAGATGAGCTCCCTTTTGGCCAGCCAAGTTTGGGAATAAAATCCTACGACAATCTCAGTCAGGGATGATGGGCGCCTTCCAGAAGATCCAAGAAGTAGCTCTCACCTTTCTTGTGAGAGAAGCGCACCAGCACTGAGCGTTGCGGCGGCTGCAAGTATCCATGGCTCCTTCTCGGGCGTAGCCTCGATAACAAACTGACAGATGATGTTGTGAACCGAAATAGATTCAGGAGACACTGCATCGCCAAAAGTTTTCACTAGGCAAGCACCACGAAGATGCTGATAGCGAGAAGAAACGAGATGTTGTTCGTTAGAACTGCCTTGAGATGGGCGTTGTCAAAGCTCGCCAGCGTGGCATCTAGAGGGCGTTCCTCTCGGTCAGAAAGCCGAAAGATCACCAAGTTGAAGCGCCAGGGGCCGAGAAACGCAAGAAGAGTCAATAGAGCAGCAGCCTCGGGAGATACTTCCTGGATGGTCGAGTATAGCATCTCGATCAGGGTGAAGAGTGAAAGGCTTTTCTCGTATTTGAGGAGTCCTTTTGGAATCCTTTCAGCGGAAAGGCGCTGATAGTGTTGTCGATAGCCGGACAGGAAATTCTTGAGTGAGAATCGGTTGAGCTGGATTAGAGCGGCCGCGTGCTCAATAGGCAGCGGCAGGCAATCCAGCTCCTTCACGATAGCTTTAAACATATTTTCGTCTGACACAAGTTAGCGGCCGTTTGTACATACAACTGACAAAAACGTCAGGAAGACCTACCCTCCATCGATGTAGATACCTCACTACTCCCCTTACGGAGCCTGGTAACAAAAAGCTGCCCGCCACTCTCAGGATCCAGGCTGCTAACCTCATGACTTTCCATACCGAAAACGTCGGCGGCCTCTCTTCTGATGCTTGTGACGATTATGAAGCCATGGTGGTAATGTGGCACACATTGCGTGAAATCTTGCCCCTGCAAGTCGTCAGCGCTGTCAATGACCAGCAACCAGCTTTTGTGCATCGTAAATCTCAGCCTCGATACGACCATCTTCCGGTCATCCTGCTCGTAATACTTGTTTGGTAGATTAGCGGCGGGCCAGGAGGACGAGATGAGCCTCGCTGCGTCGGAAAACGATGATGAGGTAGTCTCTGTGCTTGATGCCGTAATCTAGAAGATGCAGGTAAACAACTTGCGGTGCTTCTCGACATATCTCAGTGCAAGTTGTGACTTCCCAGCACCTGGCATTCCGTACAGAACCATTCCCTTCTGGCCGGGTTTCCCGGGGTTGAGAGAGCCTTCCATGGCGTTCAACTCTCGCTCACGCCCGACGAAGGTGTTGGTGAAAATGGGAAGGAGTTCCAGACACCGAAAGTCAAGGCCCTGATTCTCACGCTCTGTGACCACGATCAGCGAGACGGTTCCCACGAGGACAGCGCTGCATTCATGTTCTATTCTAACAGACCTTCCGCCGAAGGTAGCGCAAGTCTAGCTAATTTGACTACAGCGTCTCCAATGGGAGAGAAGCGCTGGTGTTCATTCGCGCGAAACTTGCAAATGGTCCGATGGTTTGACCTCTCCAGTGGGAATAAGACCTCGTTTTTGATATGCATGGCCGCTGAGGATTCATCAACAACCTTTGCGTCTGTGAGCCATTGCATGGAAACATCTTCTGCGCGGAATGGGGAGTGTTCATGCGTTGGTATAACTTACAATCACGTTACCGTACTTCTCAGTTTTGTAGAAGCTCCGGATGAAGAGACTGTCGGCCCTCTCAACGAAGCTGTCAGACAACTTCACCCAGTCCTTGGAGCTCTCCTTCAAGACGCTGACGAAGTTGCTGTTACCTGCAAACCTCAGTGATAGCCACTTCGCAACTTCGGCAGGTACTTTAGCCCAGTCCGCAAGACCGGAGCCACGATGAGGAACGCCGAGGAAGAGACAAGCCCTGACCTTCTCCAGGATGTCTTGGTCGTGGGATGAGTGGTTCCATGCATGGACGAGAGCCTGGTAAGGCCATCAGCATGCCTGAGCGGTTATATGTATGGAAGTTGGGACGAAGCGACGTCTTACCTCTTTCACCACTAGTCCACCGAGGCTGTGGCAAATAAATATAAGAGGCGAGTCTCTCTGTTTCTACGTCTTGCGAAAACCCCGGAGTCTCATCAGTAGGCTCCTTCCCGCCGTTGGCAGGTCTCCAACAGAGCGGCTGAAGACGGTCGCTGAGTCATAGCCGAACGATCTGATCCGAGCTACGATGTTGAATTCAGCAAGGAGGTCAGGCAACCTATTCCTCAGCCAGATTGCACCGTCATCGCCGGTCCATGTAGTCTGCCAGTTGCCACCGAGCCCGTGAACCGCTACGATACCATTACATGTTAACAGCGGTCTTTACAGCCACGGCTCTCAGACTCCTCACTCAACATGGCGAGCATTTGGCAACGCCGACTGGACTGACCCTGCTGCGGGAAACTCAAAAAGCCCAAGCTTCTCATTTGAAGGAGGTGCTACGAGTGATGGTCCTGGGTTTGGATCTCCAATTATCGACTGGGGGTTGACCTCTCCAGGATCCGACACAGGTGCTTGATCCCCTTCATCTGTAGCAGTGAATGTGCTGGGCAGTGAAAGTTGGGATTTTGTCTCAGAGGCTGTGGACAGATCCTTCTTTCCTTTGGAAATCCGACTCAGCCCTGGGATCCTGTCCCGGAGCCTCTTCGGAGGCGGCACCGTGGCTAATTTTAAGAGACTGACGGCTGGGCCTAGGACCTAGGATGCTGAGGAACATAAAGAGGTGCGTTCTCGGGGCCTGTGCGAGAGGAAGCTGAGACGGGGGAGGATCTCGGCCCAACCGGCAGCCTCATGCGGCGGGCATCGCAGCTCTGACTGACCCCGCACCAGAATGCATGTATGGCCATCCAATCATCGTCAGTGAGGCCTCAAGCAGTACCTAAATATCACACTGCAGCGCCAACATCCAAGATTTATCTGTACCATCAAGCATTACCGATCCCAGATTTCGGATATAAATACAACCTCAAACCGCCTGCCGTGACCACCACGAAGTCAATTCTCCAAGTCAATACGAATATACCATACCAAAAGGACCCAGGCACGATGTCTGATGTCGACCAACTAGGTAAATTCCTCGTTGCAGGCCGCCGGCGACCAACCAGAATTCAACGACCAGGCAAGTACCTAGTCATGCAACTAAACCTCGAACAGTGGACCGAGTAGTTTTATGACACTGACTTGGTCCCGTCAAAGGACCAGGTTATCCATGTACAAGGTCTATAAGCTTGCTTAATTTCGCATCTAGCCAGTCCGAACTGTCCCCATAGTTGTCGACCGCCTGTATCTCCGCCTTGATATTAAGCATCAACATCCGCTGCAGCTCACGCATCTGCTCCGCTCCGTCGTTGTTCATAGCTCCAGCGCCAAACACCTCCTTCATCACGTCAACAGCTTTCCTCCTGTCGTGCTGGGTGAGGGGAAGGATAGATTCGCTCGGCCTTCGTGCTCGCGCCCTGCCAATCTTCGCCCTTTTTGTCGGTCTCTCGCTTTGTGAACCTACAAAGCAACTCAGCCAACAAAAATCCACGCGCGCAGGAGATTGGATTATTAGCTTACCGTCAAAGGAATGGACCACGGACGCTTGACTGGCCGTTTCCTGAGTAGATGTGCCCTGGCTAGCCTGGCTGTTATCATTGTCGCTCGTTTCATGGAGGTGTGTAGTCTCGTTGAAAATGTCGTCGCTGACGATACCCAGCCACCGAAGCCGCGGCACTGTGGCATTCTCCTCGTGATCCAAGCGCCGGCTTCCATATCGGTATGTCCGCATAATGGCTACCCCATGCGGGTCAAAATCCACCAGGATAAACAAGTCCAGCTGGGGCCGAAGTGTACTGATGACAGATAGAAAACGTCTCGTCGTCAGATCTGGAAATCCCTTTGCCTATGTGGTCATACAATTTTGTAAATTAGTATAGTCCTGCTCTCTCCATTCAATGAGACTTGGCAGCTGTGCCTCCCCATACCGTTATCAGAATGCCATGTCCTGCCTGAGAGGTGGTGGAATACTGCGAAGCAGCCAACGTCCGGAATGTTGCCTTGTGCCATGAGTGAGAAATCTTGGAGACAAGCGATATCAATTTGGGGAAACATCTTACCTCTTTCTCAATGACCAAAACCCATCGCGTCGCGCGAAAGTTGATCTTTTGTATCGAACTGATCGACGGTAACAGAGTGCCCTGCGACAGTTAATGATGTCAATTCGCGTCGTCCTGGCTGGCTGAATACACACCGTGTCACCAGCTACATCGCAGCTGTGAATGGAACCATCACGAAGAATGATGTCAATTGGCCCGGAGATCAGTCCCTTTGCTGCGGCAACCTGAGAAGTTCAGCAACGCATCAACAACGGAATACCCGCAAGGAAAACTTAAGGGACTTACAATGCCCAAATCCTCCCGACCAACAGCCAGAGTAAAGGCAAGGTTATCCACCATGTCGTCTACCGCGCTCTGCGACCGAAACAGGTCGGGGTTTTGATAGTATATGTTCCTACACACTGTCACGGCCCTGGCCAACTTCTAAAGAAAACGAACAGCAAGTCTCACCTTTTCGTGATTAGATTGCCAGAGAGCAACACTTCGTGTGACATCTCAATGATACGAAAGAGAGCTTCTACAATGGCAAGCGAAATGTGAGTTCAATGTGACCAGAGACTTTCTCCCTTCCTCTGTCGTACCGAACTTCTTCGCCTCCTGAATTGTCCGCCCGGGGAACCTCACGACATCAAGCGACCGATTTTCCTCATTCTGCGATTGTGAGCTCGCATCATTATTGGAAGACCGGACGCTTCGATAAGGAATCACCAGCTCGTTGCCGGTGCAGATTGCATCCACGATTGATTCTAGTAGGGCCTCTATTTGGGAGATGGCGGGCGTTCGAGTCCCGGGGGGGATTTGCACCGCCTCGGAGCTAAGCTCTAGTAAAACTGAGCGATGTTGTGGTCGGGGGGTGGACATCAGACGCCTGTGTGTCGTCCATGATTTGTTCTTGAACCCCTGAGATCGAAAACATATTTCCGGATTAAGAAAGCGACAAAAAAAAGATAAACAAGTCAAACAACCATGGCCGTCATTCTAAGCGCAGATGTGATCTTACTTTGAAGAGAAAAAAAAGGCATGGTGATTTACAGTGAGGCAGACCTGAGGAGCGCACATGTAGTCCCCACAAAATCTTTATCGCTTTCATCTTCATCAGAATCGTTCCTTCCCTTCCGTATCTCGAGATGGGATCGAGAATCCACCCTGCCGCGCGGCCCCGTTCTCGGATTGCGCGGGTTGCGGGGCCGCACCAGACGGCAGGGATTGGCTGCGCTGCATGTGACAGGGAGATGATGAGCTAATGATCCGCTCAAGCGTCGAAGCTGATTGGCGAATGCAAAGCAGAGACAAGCAACACCACGAAAAAGGGCCAGACGCCCCCTTCGAGTTGCGGTCACCATCTCAACACCCCAACGACGAAGAGAGCGAAAATGGTGCGGCGAAAGACTAACACGGCTGCGGCTGACGCGGAGCCATTACTTGAGAAGGGTTCGACTCGGAAGCGGTTCAGCAATGCTGGCGACATCGACCACGCGAGCAAGAAACAACGACCAGAACTCGAGGAGAGGACCGACTACTCGCGATGGCGTATGCGGGATGACCAAGGCAGACACACATGGCGTTACTTAGAAGATGACGAGGAGGCAAAGAATTGGCCCCAGACCACTGCCGACAAGTACTTCCTCGGCTTGCCCATGGTGAGTGCGTCGGAAGGCAGCCTTCCGTTCTTCTGTTCTGCTTCGGCAGACACTAACATTATTTGTCTTCCAGGATCTCCCCGACCTTCCGAAGCCTGAGAAGCCCCTCGACGCTGTCCGAAACGGCCTCGATTTCTTCGAGAAACTCCAGCTCCCTGCCGGTCACTGGGGTTGCGAGTATGGCGGTCCCATGTTTCTCCTGCCCTGCATCGTCATCTCGTGGTACGTGACGAAGACGCCAATTCCCTGGTACTACGCCACCGAAATTAAAAACTACCTCTTTGCCCGCGCGCATCCCGATGATGGCGGTTGGGGCCTGCACATTGAGGGCGAGTCCTCTGTGTTCGGGACGTCACTCAACTACACCGTGCTGCGCCTGGTTGGGGTGGACGCGGACCACCCCAAAATGGTGAAAGCCCGCGCTACACTACACACGCTCGGTGGCGCAACTCATGCTCCGCATTGGTCGAAGTGGTGGCTTGCTGTTATGGGGATTGCGCACTGGGACATTGTCAATCCCGTGCCGCCCGAGCTGTGGCTGCTACCCGACTGGGTTCCCTTTGCCCCGTGGAGGTGGTGGATCCACATTCGTCAGGTCTACTTGCCCATGAGCTACTTGTGGTCAAGGAGATGGCAGGCCGAAGAAACCGACCTGATCCGCTCTCTCCGCAAGGAGCTCTTTGTAGAGGACTGGGACAAGATCGACTGGGCAGCACACCGCAACACGATCCACCCGAGAGACAACTACCACCCCAAAACCTGGCTGCTGAATCTGCTCAACTGGATTCTCGCCAATGTCTGGACCCCCGTCTTGAGATTGAAACCACTTGTCAAGAAGGCCGAAGACTGGGCCATGAAGCTGATCGAGATGGAGAACGAGAACACGGACTGCTTGGACCTGGCCACCGTATCTGGTCCCATGAACCTTGTCGCCCTCTACGCGCGTGATGGTCCGGATAGCTATGCTGTGAGGAGGCACAAGGAAAGATCAGATGAGTTCCTCTGGGTCAAGGACGAGGGTCTTCTTGCCAACGGCACCAACGGGGTGCAATGCTGGGACACGGCATTCGCCATCCAGGCTGTCATGGACGCTGGGCTGACGGAGGACCCGCGGTGGCGGCCCATGCTACTCAAAGCGCTCAAGTTCCTCGACGACCAGCAAATCCGTGAAAACGTTAAGGACCAAGACAAGTGCTACCGCCAGCAGCGCAAGGGCGGCTGGGCATTCAGCAACAAAGACCAAGGCTACGCCGTGAGCGACTGTGTGTCGGAAGCCCTAAAATCCGTCATCATCCTCCAAAAGACCCCCGGCTTCCCCACCCTCATCGATGACCAGCGCATATTCGACGCCATCGACACCCTCCTAACCTACCAAAACCCCAACGGCAGCTGCTCCTCCTACGAACCGCCGCGCGCCGGGTCCTGGATGGAGATGCTCAACGCGGCTGAGGTGTTCGGGCGCATCATGGTCGAGTACGAGTACCCGGAGTGCACGACGGCGGTCGTCACCGCCCTATCCCTGTTCCACAAGCACTGGCCGACGTACCGCGCGCGCGAGGTCGAGCGCTTCGTCGAGCGCGCCGTCGCCTGGATCAAGACCAACCAGCGGCCCCACGGCGGCTGGTACGGCAGCTGGGGCATCTGCTTCACCTATGCCACCATGTTCGCCCTCGAGAGCCTCGCCAGCACCGGCGAGACCTACGCCAACAGCGCCCATGCCAAGCGCGGCTGCGACTTTCTCATCTCCAAACAGCGCGAGGATGGCGGTTGGTCCGAACACTACAAGGTAAGCCACCCCCCCGTATAACCCCCCAAACAAACTCTTTTCAACCAAACTAACCCCCGTGCACAACAGGCCTGCGAAACAGGCGAATACATCGAGCACCCTTCCGGCTCGCAGGTCGTCATGACCGCCTGGGCGCTGATCGGGCTGATGAAGGCCGAGTACCCGGACCGGGCGGCCATCGCGAAGGGTGTCAAGCTGATCATGGGGCGGCAGCAGCCCAACGGCGAGTGGCTGCAGGAGGCCATCGAAGGCGTCTTCAACAAGAGCTGCATGATCTCGTACCCCAACTACAAGTTCACCTTCCCCATGAAGGCGCTGGGCATGTTCGCGCGCAAGTATCCGGAGGAAGCGGTTGTGTAGGTAGATGGTAGTTAATGATAGGGAGGGATAGGGAGGGCGTGTGGATGGAGGGGTCGTCTCTTTCGGTTGGTTGACGTCAGGACTGGAAAATGAACCATGAGGCCATATAATGCATAATATCATAATCACCACTGCTCATGAGAGCTTAAAGATACACTATCAATTCATCACTCCGTCGTCGAAGTATCTTGTTCATCACGCCCGACCAGGAGGCCTATTTCGTGATTGTTGACCGCAACCTCCCCGGTATCTCCTCATAAAACATAAACAAACCATGGCTGGCGAATCCCAAACCGGCTAATAGCCTCCCCAATGCCTAATTTTACGTACTTTGGGAAGGGGAACGTGCTCTACATCACGAATCGGGACAATTGCCATTTTCTCGCCAAACCGTTCAGATAACCCTTCCACCTACGGAGGAGAGTTGTCTTCCGCATTGGCAGTCTTGCTCTCGTCCCGAATGGTCTTGAGCTGGTTGGCAAAGTCCCTGTTGACCCACTCCCAATAGCTGGTCCAGATCTGGTTCGACGCGGCCGTGCCGCTCGCGGCTTGGGCGCCGCTCGTGTTAAGAGCAGTCTTGTTGAGCTTGTCCCCCAGGAGGAGGGTAAGGCGTAGAACCGCCTTGTTAGCCTCGTCCTGCCTCTCAATCTCCTGCTTGACGGCGTTGTCTTTCAGCTTGTGAGACAGCGTCTTCCTGAAACCACCAGCAATCGAGTCCAATCGGCGGACGGTCTCGTCGGCGTCGAGATGGACGAGCTTCGACACCATAAGGTTGCACAGTGCGCGAATGTCGTTGTCGTCAGTAAGGCCGGCGACAATCCGATCGTAGAGGTCAATGATGCTGACGCGAGAGAAGGCGGTCTCCATGAGGGCATAAAGGGTTTCGTACGCAGCCTAAATCACAAGGTATTAGCAAGTTTCAGAAACACCAAAACCACTAGTCACATACCTTTCGCACTTCCAAGCCATCGTCGATGATGTGCTTGAAGGGACCCATTTGCACCTCACGAATGAGCTCCTGCTTGATCACCGTCTCGTTCATAACAAACGGCATCAGCTGGTTCAGATACATCAGGATTAGCTCAGGCTTGTTGTGCGCCGCCGAAGTCAGCGTGGACATAGCGTGACGACGAATCTCCATCTCGGTATCACTCAGCGAAGTCTTGAGCATATCGACAAGGAATCTCTTGAGGAATGCATCAAAGTTCTCGTTGTCATCAGGGAGAGTGTATCGGAGAGCCTGAACTGCGATAGCCCTCAGGACCACCGATTCGTGCTTGAACAAGGACTGTTGGGAGGTTAACAAGAATGCGACAATGTGGGGATAAAAGGGGGTTGCTCACCTCCAGCTGGGGCATATACGTTTTCGGATCAATGATGGCCATGCGTCCAACGCATTCGGCGCAGACCGCCTTGTTGTCCTCAGTGTCGCTCGCAGCAAGAATTTGCTCCCAAATCGCGGTGGAATATTGGCCAATCTCAGTGGAGGAGAGGGCAACTTGCTGGAGGATCTCCTTGATCGACTGCAAGAGCAGGTATTGCGTACTGCCCCTCTGGTTCATCGATTTCAGGATAACGGGCAGGTAGACCGAGACATTGCCCGCTCCAGCTCTCCCAAGGGCAACAGCGGCCGCGAGAGACACCTTGTCGTACTCGTTGGTGAACCGCTCCAAGAACAACGTCGGTTGAATTGGGAACCGGCTGCCGAGACGCAATCCAGCCTCGCCAATGACGGCCAACGCGAGACTGCTCCTTGCCTGATCTCCCCCATTGCCAATCTCCCGGACGAAGCTATCCAGAGTGACGCCGGCCGAATCTCCACTGGCGACAAGAAGTGTTCCTATCACTTTGCCAACGATGGAGGGATCTCCCCCAACACCGACGTCTTTCAGAAACGCTGCCATCAAGGGCTTGCCCTGCCCCATCAGCCCGGCTTGGGTAACGAGAACCAATAAGGAATCGAGAACCGTGCCGACAACATTTGTCTGGAGCAACATGCATAGGGCGCCAACGAGTTGTGGGGTAATGACGATGCCTGGCATCTCCTGCGTCAGGCGAGCAAGTACAAGAAGACCAGGGCCAAGCAGCTGCGCATCGTTGACATTGATAACGGGGATCAACGCATCGACGACGTTCCGCACAGTGGCCTCGTCCAGTGTGCCTTTGGTGGCGGGCGATAACACGAGATGCTTTAGCGCCATGACGCTTGACCCTCTCAGCGAGCGATTCGACTTCCGTAACTGAGCTGTCAGCTCAACGATGACCTGGCGGGTCCACTGGGGTTCAAACTCGACGGCATCCGCCGACATTGCAGCAGCAGTATCAATGGCGCGCACAGCAGCCAGCCTGGTAGTTTCATTCTTGAGCCTCTCCAGAAGGCAAGCAAGGGATGCCTTGCGCTTGTCGTCTGGGAGCAGTGACGATCCCTCCGACCCTGTTGTCCGAGCTAGGAGTGTACCGAGAGCATGAATCGCCTTTTGCCGAACCTCGGCATCGGCATCAATGGCCGTTGCGCGGCCGATGACGACTTCATAGAGCGTCTGGAGTTCGCCTTTGAACTTTTCAGCGGTCATACGAGACCGAGGGGGGGTAATGGCCTTAATCATTTCCTCCGCTGTCTGGATAGCCTCGCCAGATATCTTATAGAAGCGGTCGTGAGCAACGGCGACCACGCCGGCAACAATTTTGGGGAGGTGAGGTTGCAACACAGTTGAAGAGTGGTTTTTGGAGATATCACTCGTTAGGCGAAGTGCCGCAATCCTCAACGTAGTTGCAGTTGCCGATGCGCCACCGGCGGACGACATAGACGCGGCCGTTGACGCAGCGCTCGACGGCTTTATCGCGTCAATAACAGGGCCAATGACCTCGTCAAAGTATGATTCAAGGCCACCCTTCTGCACGCATACCATATCGTCGAGAAGCTTGATACAAGCTTGCTTCGTAGAGATAAGTTTCCCCTTCAGCAGCTTTGTCAACGACTTAACGATGGATGGCGTGAGCCTGGCCAGGTCGGCACGTGGACCTGTTGCAGGGATATTCTCCGTCGTTGGGGAAGTAAGGCCAGTACCCGAGAGATCTGCTGGGGTCAGAGAAAGGGCAGAAGAGGAGGGACCGCCCGCACTGCTCTGACGCCTCCTCTTTCGGCTGGCAGGCGGCTGATTCAAGTATTCGCTCTGAGCACCGTCTGCCGAAAATGGGGGCAGCATGCCTTCTCCTGTCTTTCGGACAAGCAGCGACATCGCCGACAAAACCTCGAGGCGGACATTCTCCTCTCGTTCATTAAACCTCTTGACGAGGGCAGGGGCGACTGTGCCGTAGAGCATGCCACAGTCAAGAAGATCGCCGCTACTCCTGGTTGAAATGATGGTGTGCAAACCCTTTGCTGCGCAGCGCCGGACCTTCCAGCTGGCATCATCGTCGTCATCGAAGCCCCCGGAAGCCTCAAATTCATCGTCCTCCTCGAATTCGTCCTCTTCCTCTTCCTCGTCCTCCATTTCCTCGTCTTCGTCGACCGCATAGTTGGGGTCGAATTTCAGATACCGGAGACAGGCGGCAATCGCTTCGTTGGTGAACATACGCATTTGAGTAGGGCACGAGGACAGGAAGGCCTCCAAGGCGACGAGGGCAGCCTCCCGTACTTCGTTGAACTCAAGGGTCGCCTCTTCGCCCTCACTGATCTCGTCAAGCTGTGCCTGAAGTTCCTCTTCGCTCAGGACTCGAAGAATGGGAGGCACCAGTTCGGAAAGATGAAGACCGAATCGGTAAGGAATTGACCGAGCCATGGAACCGGTAACAGTGATGTAAAGCCGGCGCGTAGAATCGTTCAGTTGAGCCTGGCCCAGCGCGCCGGTGATACGTTGGACGAAAGCAGCCAGGAGGTCATCAGGGAGATAATGGGCGAGCATTGAAATGGCGACGACTGCCCTCTTCTTCACGACTGAAGTACCCTTGTCCTTCTCTAGGATTGTGACCACAGCATTGTGAAGAGCTTCGATCTCGAATGACTGAAGCATGGGACCGAAACAGCGGACCAGCTCAATAAGGACATCGACAGAATCGGCATTCGGGTCCTCGGGGTCCAGTAGGCCGGGGACGGCCTTGCCAGAGGAGCTTGCGCGGCCGAGAAAGCGCGGTATAAGCACCCTGCTGAGGCTGGTGTATGCCTCATTCACCGCCCCAGAGGGCGTTACGCCGGATGCCGGCCGAGGGAGGGCTTCCACGACGGCTCGGATGGCCATAGACGGGATCGAGTTGTCGACAGAGTTCTTCAGCTTCAAATTGCAGAGCTTCTCCATCATCGGCGCAACTAACTGCGGGGTGACCTTTTTAACCAACGGCCCTAAACTGTGCAACCAACTCTGTTAGCCGCCGCCAATATTCTCCAGAGACGTCATCGCGCTCGTCTCTTACCATTTGATTGCCTGGTTTTGAACTTCGCCATTCTGGTCGTCCAAGGCGCGGACAATATGGTCGACCGTCCGAGCTGCTGTATTGTAGTCATGATTCAGGAAGTCTTGCTTCGCAATGTTGAATACTGTGAGCAGATCGTTGAGGGCCATAAACCGAAAATCGGGGTCGGCATCGGTGATCCTGGAGAGCAGCTGGGTGACCGTTTGCGGGGTCGGGTTAGACGGGATGGTGGACGCCATGGTTATGGGTGCGGAATGCCGACGAGAATTTCGCAGCTATGGGATGGTCTAGTAGTTAAGAGACGTCGTGCCACGATAGATACTTCGTGACCCTATGTCGTCAGCGCTATGCGAATGTGATTCGTGTCGACAGGCAGCAAGGTACCTGCGGGGAACACCGCGATGCCAAGCTGTAGAATCTCGAGAGTTAGGGAACTGCGCAAAGGTCGGAAGATCCGGGGGTGGCGGGTCAAACCTTTATAAAGGTGCCCAGTAGTTATTTGGTCAGAAATATTTCTCGATTCTTGACGGCCGTTGAAGAGGGTGGGTTGGCGAAGATCGGTTCCCCCACCAAGTGATCAGGCAGCTTCCGTTGTTTAGTAGTTTGGCGGGGCACCTTCCACCATCTTGAACCTTGGTGGAAAGCTAATGTGGGGCAGATTACCCAGCCACACCAATCAACGTTCGGATTACCAGCTAAGTTTCGCGATACATACCACACCATCTTTTATACTTCCATGAGTGTTGGCTTCAACCTTTAACCATGACGTGCCCACACAGCCAAACTCTTGCTAGTAAACAAGCACAGTAAGTGACAATGTTAGACATAAAGTTAATCATTGTTATTCACCTTTGTTCCGGGACATTCTTCTTAGTCTCAACAACTCTCTTTCTAATCTTATAATTATTAGTTACCGGTTCTTCCAACTGCTTTGCGGATGCCGGTCCGGTGCTGGTATTCGCTCGTGTTTATCGAGCTTTTCATCTCTTGAAAGAAGTTCGCTCCTAGTTTCTTGAATTATTCGAGTTTGCTCGTCAAAGAAACTGGCTTCGATACCGCTTATCTGCTGTGAGACTGAATGCTAAGTGTCCTGAAACAGCTGTGTCGGTTGCTGGGATAGTGGGTCGACTTGAGGAGAGCTTTGGCCTCCACCTGTTCTTCATGACATGACTACAGTATCTACGTCACTATTCGCCATATTACCTATTCGTCCGCCATGTTATTCGAACGTGATCTTGTGCCTCTTCACAAACATCTTTCGGGTTCGGCCATACGACCCGCATCCTGCTTGGGGATTAAAACGCCCAACCCAAATTGAGGTTCCATCGAAAGCTATAGTCATGATTAAAAGTACAGCTTCAGCGCTCCGGCCGAGTCTTCGGTCGATAAGCCGGTCCCGCTTTGTTCCCTCCTCGCAACTGGCACAATCAGTTGGCCGGCGAGGATACGCAACCCTCCAAGAGCGAATCGGGCAGTCCGGGGACACGCCGTGGTAAGCTCATGATGGCCGCGCGTGCAATAAGGTTCTGCTATTGTGATGGGAGGAGGAGTCAATTGCAATGATCAAAGCTAATAACATCTGATCTGGCCCTTTTTCAGGCAAATTGCAGCCGTAGCAGTCACGGTTCCGGGTCTTCTTTACCTTCGGAGCAGCGGTGGTACTGCGCAGCCCAGGCACGGAGAAGCATATGTGAAACGTGTGGAGCCCCGCCATGAGAAAGTATCCCAAGCCGCGGCCAATGTCACATCGGCTGCAAAGGCCAAAATGGAAGAGGCCCAAGAAGGTGTCCAGAAGACGCTTAACTCCGCTGTGGAAAGCGTGAGCGGCAGCAGCGAGTCTTCAGCAACCCCAGCTTCGGCAACCCCGGCTTCATCGAGCACAGCTTCATCAAGCCCGGCCTCCGTGCAGAGCACGCAGACTCAGATGAACGACTCTGCAGAGACTGTGAGTTTGCGACGACAAGAGAGCCTAGCCAGTGGTGTCATGGAGATATACTGACTTCACACAGCAACCCCAAAAGTTGACTGAGAAGTTAGCTTCTCAACAAGTTGACCCAACTCAGAAGTAAGACATCGAGACAGACAAAGAGGGGATCGAGTATTTCATAGGCCAGAGAGAAAAAAAAAAAGAAGGAAAAGGAAGAGAAGAAAAATGGCAAACAACTTATCTACATAGCTGAAGTGTTTCAATGTATCAAACCGTTGAATAAGTTACGCAGTTTTTCTCGCTTCATCAGGGTTGCTCGGAGACTCTAGGGATGGGTTCCTTTATGGAAACACTGCTTGGGGACCTCGGAGACCAACTAAGCGGTCTTGGCGGGGGGTTTTATAAGCGGACGGGAGACGATCAAACTGATGTCCATCGCCGTTCACGTTTGCATTATGTGCCATTGAAGCGATAGCGTTCCCCATTTCAAGGTCATGGTCACCCTTGAACCCGGTATCATGGTGCATTTGTTCCTTTCCCTGGGTTGTTTCGTAGGATGCGTATTCGGCAGAATGGTGCCCCGCGGACCAGCTGTTATACCCCGCCCCCGCGTTCCGCAACGACCCTGAAATAAAAGTCTGCCCCGCGGTGATCCGGTACCTTTCCCGTTCCTGACCCATCGTGATTTTAACGTACAAGAAACCACCCCGAACAACCACGAATTCCTGTTAGTTTCCTTCCTACCTCCTCTCACGGGGCGCCCAATTCAATCTCAACATAACCCCACCTCCCAACTCAACACTCCTCACCTCCCCCGACCCCAATCCACCCACCGACCCAAAACACACACAAAGATACCAAGATGGCCGCCACCGCCCCCACCATCAAGATGGGCACGCGGCGGTCCGCGCTGGCGCTGCGGCAGACGGAGCTGGTCATCGCGGCGCTGCAGAGCGCGCACCCGCACGTCACCTTCGAGGTGCACGCGATGGCGACGGCGGGCGACCGCGACAAGTCGACCCCGCTCCCCGAGATGGGCAAGGGCCTGTGGACGTCGGAGCTCGAGGCCAAGCTGGTCGCCCGCGACGTCGACGTCATCGTCCACTCCCTCAAGGACATGCCCACCACCCTGCCGGAGGGCTGTGTCCTGCGCTGCGTCCCCGCCCGCGAGGACCCCCGCGACGTGGTCATCTTTAGCAAGGCCCGTGAGGAGGCTGGGCGGTATAAGAAGTTGAAGGATTTGCCCGAGGGGGCGGTCGTGGGCACGAGCAGCGTGCGGAGGGCGGCGCAGCTGAAGAGGCGCTATCCCGGGCTGGTGTTCCGGGATGTGCGCGGGAACATTGAGACGCGGTTGCGGAAGTGTGATGAGGAGGGGTTCGATGCCATTATTCTTGCGGCGGCGGGGCTGTTGAGGTTAGATCTTGGTGCGAGGATCGCGCAGTACCTAGACTCGAACACGGAAGGGGGCGGGCTGCTCCATGCCGTGGGCCAGGGTGGGCTGGGGTTGGAGGTGCGGGAGGATGATGAGCAAATGAAGGAGCTGTTGAAGGCCATCGAGGATACGCCCACCATGACCGCATGCTTTGCGGAGCGGAGCGTCATGAGGACCTTGGAGGGAGGGTGCAGCGTGCCGATCGGTGTGGAGACGGCGTGGGTAGAAGAGGAGGAGGCTGGCGAGAAGAAGAAGAAGCTCCAGTTGCGGGCGGTGGTCGTGAGCTTGGACGGGAGTCAAGCTGTGGAAGGTGAGAAGACACAGGAGGTCACCAGCCTGGAGCAAGCAGAGGCTATGGGTAAGGAGTTGGCCCAAGAGCTTGCCGGACGGGGAGCACAACAGATACTGGACGAGATCAACAAGGGGCGGGACTCCGGGGCCGCAGTAAAGGTTGGCGCATAAGAGTAGATGTACGATATTGGCGAATAAACTGCGCTTGCTTTCCATGCTTCATTATCTCTCCGGCTGCTAGGTCCGGTCGTATTCTGCTCATATGCTCAGCCGTTGAAAGCTCCTTCCTGAAACTGCACCGCGGGTGTCTGTCTCGCTCCCTGTTGAACGCCCGTTTGAATCCAGAGTAATGAAATCAAACACCAATTGTCCCAGAGGCCGATATGGTACAAATACTTTTAGGCCCTTGTCTCTATCAGGTTGAACTGTCCGAAAATGATGGTCCCATGACTTCCCTCAGCCCGCCCTCTTCCCAGATACCCACAACAACCCACACCATTCCGTACCGAAACTCCTTAGTGCTCCTCTTCCACGGCAGTGAACTCTTCGTATGCTGCGACGTCCATCATCTTCTCAAAGTCCTCGACCCCCTGCTCAGTAAGTTGAACCTTGGCGATCCAACCGCCGCCGTGCGAGTCGTCCTCGGCGACCTGGTTGATAGGTACCCGGCTTCTCCTCCAGGAGCATGTTGACGTGCGTAATCTTGCACGAAACCGGGGCGTTGATGTCGGCGGCACTCTTCACCGACTCGACGGCGCCAATGGCATCACCGACCTTTACGTCCTTGCCCTCTTCCGGCAGCTCGACGTAGACGATATCGCCCAACTGCTTGGCAGCGTATTCGCTAATGCCCAGGACGCCGGTTTTCTTGTCTGCAGAAATATCGATCCACTCGTGCTCCTTAGTGTATCTTTTTATCGCATCTAGAGTCGGCGCGGGGTTGAGGTTAGTAGCGTTGCATCAGAGCTTTATCTGGTGTTCCTCACTTGAAGCCGTCACAGAAAAGGCGCGGGCGCCGATAGTGCGAGGGACCGAGTTTCTGGCAACGGCAGAGAACGCTGCGGGTCGAGCGACCCTCAAGCACCGTGTAATTGAAGCCATTGTTGGGGATATGGGTGGTCGTTCGGGGGGTGGGAAGCTGCAAATGCACTGGCACAGGTTCAAGCGATTTCGCACGAGATAAATCGAATGACGCCGATTCAAGCTGGCGCACCGAATCGGACAGCCGGCAATCGCCGGCCTGCCCAGCTGCCAGCCACTCAGAGCTCGAGCAGGGGACCGAGCTGCCGAGCTTACGTAACGGGATTCTCGGCTTCTTTGGTTCTGGACCCTCAAGCAAAGAGCACCACTCGTCGATGACTAACAACTTCCAGGGCGACCCCGCGCCCAAGGGAAGATGGGACACAGACGCGGAGAAACCAATCCCAAACAAGGCACTCAATAGGCTGCTCCAGTTATCGCGGGCTGCAAACACCCATAGAACTATTTACCGTTTTGGTTTCATTTGTTTACCCAGCACTCCCAACTTAAGATAATTTGTTTTCCTTTTTCCGACTCATTTGTTTTCCCTTTCACAGGCCACGAAGTACTTGGCTACGAATACTTCCCACTCTCCCCTCCAAATTCCATAGCATTCTTTCGTACTTTTCCTGAAATCACCCCAGCGGGGCTACATTGTTTCTCTCTTGCCTTCTGGAACGTTGATCGGCCAGCTCGCGTCGCGTTCTGCATGAAAGCGCGTCGGGTAGTTTTGTGCTGCATGCAATTAATGCAAACGCTTGCAGCGGTTCCGGTCCATCTCAGCTGTGGCTTCTCGAGTCGGGACTCATCCATCCCCTGTCGTGGCGCCAATTCTAAGCAGTGTGGGACACTGTGGGTTCAGGCTCCCCACTGTGCAGCGGCTTCGATCAGGTTCCCTCTCTGCCGCCTTGCTCTGTACAATTCCAAGTTCAAATCACAACAACTCTTTCGAGGGCCCATTCTCCAGCATTTTATTTTTCCTGAGGGCCATCTCCATATCTAATGCGGATATTCCATTGTGCACTCGAGTGACCCGCAGCCCCGCTCGGACCGGGTGATAATAGAGCGATCGAGCAACTGGTGGGAGAGACAAACAGAAACAGGAGGTCAGGAAGTACTTCGCAATAAGAGGCCCATCGATCCGACCCGGCTCCGCACCCCCGATCGCCTATTACGCTTATTTGGAAACGAGCGAGACTCAGCTGGCATCACCCCTCCACCAGCTTCCATGAGGTCGTCATCTGGTTAGCCCAACAACCACACCGCCCAGCAACTCCTCCCTTGGCCTCCACATCAGACGAAGGCCATCCGAAAGCTCCCTCCTTCTACGATCTATCCCGGCGCATTTCCAGGCACAGCCCATCGCGCCGACCTTTGACTCGCCCCATCCCGCAGCGTCCCGTCAGCCTTCACCCTGGATTCCTCAAACTTCGCGACGGGCGCTCCAGCCCAGTTCCACCACAACGTGGACACCATGGAGCAGCAGGACCAGGCCATATCGCCAGCCTATGCTATGGCCCCCGATTCGGCTCTTGCCCCAGCCCGGATTCCGTCCCCGGCCGGTTTTCCGACCGACCCGCACGACGACACTCTTAGTGGCGTCGAGAGCGTCACGCACCAAGCAGCACCAGACCATAATATCCACGAACACAATGGCTTCCACGAGCAGCAGCACATCGCTCAATTACAGCCCCTCGACCACAATGTGACCAACTCACCACGTTCCCCGTACCCGACCGACACCACAGACAGCGAACCGACAGCCCGATACGCAACGCCGCCGATTCAAGCGCCCACGACATCCCGCCCCCCATCCGGGCCTTTCCGGGCAGGGAGCAACCTACGGGGGCGACCAGGTGTCAAGGGCGGGCAGCAATGGAGCACAGGCCGAGTCGTCGCAGTCCCCCGGGCGGAACCACGTCGTAATCAAGGTCGGCATGGTGGGCGACGCCCAGATTGGCAAGACAAGTCTGATGGTCAAATATGTCGAGGGGAGCTGGGACGAGGACTACATCCAGACTCTGGGCGTCAACTTCATGGAGAAGACAATTAGCATCCGGAACACCGAGATCACTTTTCAGCATCTGGGATCTGGGCGGCCAGCGCGAGTTCGTTAACATGCTACCGCTGGTGTGCAACGATGCTGTTGCAATTCTATTCATGTTCGACCTGACACGGAAGAGCACTCTGAACAGCATCAAAGAGTGGTATCGCCAGGGGCGCGGGTTCAACAAGACCGCCATCCCTGTGCTTGTAGGAACAAAATACGATCACTTTGTGAACCTGTCACGCGAGGAGCAGGTAGGAGATCTCTAACCAGGTACGACTTGCCGGAGGATGGCCAAGGTCGCCCTAACTTCACAGTTGGCTAACAAGGCGATAGGCTCGGCGTTTTGCAAAGGCAATGCGCGCAGCATTGATCTTCAGCAGCACCAGTCACAGCATCAATGTCCAAAAGGTATGCCGATCACGATTAACATCTGCTGGATAATGTCTGACAACCCACAGATCTTCAAAATTGTGCTCTCCAAGGCGTTTGACCTGAAGTGCACCATCCCTGAAATCACCAATGTCGGCGAGCCGCTGCTGATTTACCAGTCTTGCTGAGGTCCGCCTGGCTACCAGGGACCACAGCAACATGTGTTGGTTACAAGATAACCATAATATGGGCACATCCAACCAGCCCAAAGTGGTGAACCACACCGGGAAGGCAGAACACTTCCAATTCGAGTCAAATTGGCATTTCAGTAGGGTCAGGTACACTAGCCTGTGGTGTCCCTGCCAGCCCTGGGAAGGGTTTAGAGAATGCTTCGGGACTCGCCTCTCATTGTCTTTTCCTTTTGTACTTGAAGCAGCAGAGATGGGCAACATCGCTGTGGAGTCTTGAATTGTCAAGAATAGGTACGGGGAACGGGGTATAGGAAACTGCATTTGAGGATACATATTCTTGTGTCCCTGGGGAATCTGAAAGGACATATTACCGAGACGGGAGCATTGGCCTCGTTGTCTTGTGGTTTTGCGTGGAGGACGCAGCTAGAGTGCTGCCGTTATCTGTATTACACGCTTCTAATTTAACTCATAAATGCTGATACCGGGTGCGGTGATCGCTGCTCCGGCAGGGCTTTTCAAGCATGTCTTAAACATCAAACCCGGCCCGAAGAACGACAACGCCGGTGAAAAGTGCTTAATGGTCCATTTGAAGCCAGCGGTAACAACTAATAACCGCTCCTAGCATGGCACAAAAATCAGATCCCCGAGACCTCGCAAGTACTGCTCCCGTCAAATTGCTACCGCTAACGTCCGTTAGTTAAATCTGTATTGCTGCCCTGTATACTAATGTGCCGGTGAAGTTCTCTGTTTTCCGGGCGGCGTCTTGACGGACCCTGACGGTTCAGCCAGTATTATCAGAGAACAGCTCTCCGCCCGATTGAAATCCCATCACAATATCCAACAACGTACATGCAGAGCTGAATCTTGCTTTTTGAGCTGTGTTTCAGGGGGTCACAAAATGTCGACCGACGTCATGTCGAAGATACCCAGGTGAACACTCAACTACACTACTAAGGGCCCTTCTTCTCGACTTCTCACGTCCCCCTCTAGGTAGAAAGGAATAGAGATGTGGCCGTTAAGGGGCTAACGTGTCCTGAGCGGTCGAGCTTTCTAGTCTTAGAGAACGCAAACTCTAACGCAGCAATTAGAACTCTTTTCTATCTTTAGAACTACTCTTTTTCTTGATTCGCTCCCAAGGAGAATACGCAGGGGTCCGTCAACAGCCCATTCCTACTACCAATACTACAATGACGAACGCAGCATTAACCCCAACTAGGAATTTAGACCTGGATGTCCGCGTATGGGGTGCAAGCTTCACCTATCCCCCCATCCCAACTAACACACAACCCCCTCCCGAATTTCCCAAAAGCCCACATCACAAAACACCCCACTGCTCTTCCCACCCCACCCAACTGTATGTATCAACGACACAACCAAGACAGACCCCCTCCAGGCCATCTCCACCTGCCTCCAACAACCGCCCGTCCCACCACTTTCACTACTTCCAACGATCCCACCCCGTCAACTTCACATCCCACATCCCACACCCCCATCCCCGACTTCAACCTCAGACAGCGACAACGGCCCCAATTGCTACATCTCCTTGGTGATAACCCCGATCAGCAAGATTGAGTTGTCGCGTGTTTGTGCGCGGCAGTGCCTGAACCCGAGGAGCGACCACATCGAGCGGCGTGAAGCGCCCTATTCTTCTTGATCTGAGGTCCTGTGTAAAGGGTTAAAAGGGATTTGGGGGGTGGACTGATGTCGGTAGCCGGTATGTCGAATGCAGTTCGGAAGCCCTCTATTGGCCTCTTTGGTACCATGAGGTTCAATGACCGACCATGGGGACACCTGATTCTGTCGTTCTTGGTTGGGCTCTTCAAACGCGTTCCATTAACGAGCAGGAAGAAGCATAGGTTAACTGTTCTATTATTCATGGCTCGACGCAACAAGCGTTACCCAGCGACACCCGTTACCCAGTTTGCTTTCCCATCCCGTCATTTTACTCATACATGGCGATGCCCGTCCATCTACATCGTAATCACTAACCCACGTCAAGTCCGAACCTCCATTTCCCATGTCCGTAATGCCAACCCATCAGAAAACAGCCCGAGCTAACACTCCATTTCCCCTTCTTCAATAAGCCGTCCCAAAATCAAGCTCTGGATGACTAGCTCATCACTCAGCGTCCGCACCCTCTTCACCGGAGGCTGTGCAGCGAAGCTCGCCGCGGAAGCCCGCTTTCTCTTTTTTCCTCCCACTGGGCCCACGGCGAACAGCGTCTCCTCATCCAGCTTGCCATCGACATATACCCAGTCGAAGGGCTGCCCCGCGTCTTCAGCGGCCCTCATCTCCGCCTTCGCCTCTTCAACACTATAAACCCGCGTCAGCGACGCGCCCAAGACTCGCGCAAGGAAGACATAAGCCATCTTCTTCCCCTCCTGCGCCTTCTTCACGACAGCGAGGATCCTGCTCCCCTCGAGCAGTTTCTCCCGCTGGTCAATGACGCCGGCCAACTTGGCCGTCGAAGCACGGTACGGCGAAAGGGTCCTGGATCGGATAGCATCGCCGAGAAAGGTCGACTGGCCGGCGCAGAGAAGGTAGGGCGTCCAGTCGACGAGCTCGTTCCGCTCGAGACAGGCGGTCACCCAACGGACTGCGATACACGGCAAGCCGAGCGCCAGGGCTTGCATGTATTTGGCCTTGCGCGAGTGACCGTCGGCGATCAGCGCGGTGAACCCTGTGGTCTGGCCTTCGGGGGTGAGGCTGATCTCTGCCTCCGCATTTGATGTTGAGGTTGGGCTACTGGATGGCGTCGCCATGGGTGAAACCTCAAAGAGTTCGTCGAAGCCATTCTCAAGAATTCTGCCGCCGGCCTGCTTGATTCGTTTTTGGACCATGGCTGAGAAGTCTATCCGGGAGTGATATTGGTCATTGTTCTCGCCAGGCTTCCTCGACTGGAAGGAGATAGCAAAGGCCATATTCTCGAACAACTTTTGATTGCGTTGAGTTGGTGGAGGTTTCATAGTGCTGTGGCCGGACCTCGAGGTTGACCTAGACATTGAAAGCCGGGAGATCCGCAAGCTTTGCTCGAAGGTAGGCGTTCCAGGTATGGACCGGGCGAGCTCATCTGTCGAGTTAGAACCTCGCCGGGTCATTCTTGACGACTGTCTAAGGCTCTCGGTTGAGCTTGTTTTGAGGGTGGAAAGCCTTCCGCGCGCATCACGACGCTTCGTCTGGGTAACGGCAGGGGAGGAGCTGGCCACGATCGTAGACTCAGCCGGAGAGGTTGCACGTGCAGTGCTCGCGGTTTCGGGGCGATCGCGCGAGGGGAGTTGAGGAGTCGATGCTAAGTTGCTAAGAGTCGAGGATGAACTTGATGCTCGCGGATACCCCCTTGAACCTTTGCCTTTTCGAGACCTTGTGCTGAACGCTGGAGGAGAAGATTGGAAATTTGGCGTGACTTTCACCTCTGAAGGAGCAGATTCGATGGATGTAGCTATCTCTGCGAGAAGTTTGGAGTTTTTGTTGGCTGGACTCGTCTCTGGGATGGCATCTGCACTAGGCATGGTCTCAATGTCGGCATCCCGAGCAGCTTGGGTTACCGGTTTCGGCGATGGCTGTGGAAGGTCAGGTAGTATGCCTGGCGTTGGGTCCACGGTAGGAATAGGCTCCTCCTCTACATCGGACTGAGTCGAGTCCTCAGCTTCCACAACGTGACGCTGAGCGGGCAGTGGAAGTTCTGTCATGGCACCTGGACCTTCCGAGCGATTGGAAACCGGAGCCTCTGCTTGGCTTGTCCGCTTACGCTGACTCGTCGAAGGTACCTCGACGTCATCGGATTTCGACGGACGCGGGAAACTGATGGCGGTTAACTGCCTCAAGGCTGCTTCTTTATTTTGCTTCGCTTTTCTCCGCCTCACTATTGAATCACGCAGATCGTCCTCATCCTCGGAACTAACGGGGTCGGTCTGCACCTCGGAAGTCGAGCGCCGTTCTTGAGATTTGTGCACTGGCTCATAGGAGCCATGGTTCTGGACCTGACCTCTTCCTGGCAGCCGATCATGGGAGATTCTTGGAACAACAGGATTCTCGGTTGACGCGGTATTAACAGACTGCTAGCCCTGCCATTG